TAAACACAATCAGCCCGATCCTAAACCCGTATGGAACTAAAGCAACAACACCTGAAACGGCACCTGTCGTTTCATACGCTACTTGAATAGCTCCTGATAGTATGATCAAATGAATAGAGAGGCTGAAGGATGATCGTTTCTGCAAGGAGAAAATTGGTCAACAGAATCTACAAATACTTCGTGCTTTATTCGAATGGCTAAACAAAAACAACGGACTCGGCTACATGTCTATGTGGAATCAGAAAATGCGACAGAAATGTATACAGATTGGTATTCTCGAGGACTGTGCACTAGTTGATAGGAAGGAGGAGTCAGGTAATGATGCGCCTATTACGATCGGAGGAAAGAATAGTATGTCATCGACATGGCATCAATTTATAGTATTTATTTGTATTTTTCGAAAGTCACATAGCAGCCCGGGGCGTATGGAAGTGTCAATTCAACGTTGCTGGGGATACAGCAAAGTAGCATATCACATTCGTCATAGCCACAAGTTATGTATTCAAACATAGACATCGGACAGCCAAATACACGCTTGAGCGTAATCGTATTGCACTTCATTTGAACAATAATGTGGATACTACAGAGTGGCGGGCTGTGACGTGGAGGCACAATTTGTGTATTATAGCGATTACAAATCATTTCCAACGGTGAAGTTTGACAGATCGTTACGAGTTGGAGAAACTCGGCATATGCGTATGCAAACCTAGATAGAAACATATTGGTCAATATGCGTTTAGTGAGGAACGGTCACGGGCAGATCGTAATATAGCACGGAAGAGAACTACTATCAATCGAACGCAATATGGAGGAGTTGCGCAACTATGTTGGTTTTGGGGTCAGAAAAAAACATTGTCAGGGATAGATATAGCTCACTATGAAGCGCAGGTGGCACGTAGAATGGTGAACTTAGATGCACCAATCACAGATTGGTGAATGACAAAACCAGAACAGGGTGAAGACCCAATGGATTTGGATATATCATTGGATGGAATAGATTCTTATGTTTCACACGAGAGTGATAACGATTTAGACGTAGTTTGATGTTGAATAAAGCTTCTATTAACAACTTGTTTATGCTACTTTAGCTGTTCTGCACACATGAACGAGTGCCATAAGTTCTTGCCCGCAGCATGGATGCTCACTGAACCCCCTTGTTAATTTCACTTGTAACTTGTCTCTTTTGAAATAAATAATATTATCCCTATGAATGGTTGAGACATGGGCTCACTCCAAACACCTTTGTTTCTTCTTCTTTATCATAAGTGGCAATACGTTTCTGTTTATCTGGTGGCAACAAACAGCTCGCATCTTGAACGTTGTCCACAAACCACGACTTTGTTGATTTACCCTTATCGATTATCGCTACGCATATAATGATCATCTTGTCGTGCCGGTAACTGCGCGAAACCTCGCCCTTGATGTACATCAACATGTGATGCTTTCTCTGTAAAACGTCGTTCAGCTTCACATAGCCAGTTACCAAGTCGACGATGGAACGATGATATTGTTCCTTAGTTTGTCGGGGTGTATAAAAAGCTGTACCAAAATATACTTTGATAATGCTACTATTAACGACCACCTTCTCGATGACATCTTGATTACATGCATTAAGTGTAATGTCATTGCAGCTACCAGTAAAGAAGTAGGTACTTCGGGGATAGACAATTATTTAGTACTGCATTTTCTGTGTGTAAGTTGGTGCCTAAGTAATCTGGGTTCAAATCGTTGTGGTGTAACAATACCTCTTTAGTATAACATACTATACAGTTGAAGTGTAGAGTTTAGTATACAAGAGAATATGCTAGATTGCACAATCGGTGCCAATCCAATGCGCGAACTCCACACGTCTGTGTTTCAAGCCGATAACTTCGTTGACTATACCAGTCTAATGTATAATGCTAAAAAAAATACTCTTCCATAACACTGTCTGTCTGTTACGCTGATCATTTCTCGCTGTGCTGGAGTCAGTGTACTTTACATATGGTCTATCTCATATTCAATAGTTATTACATCTTCACCGCAGATAGATATCTATCAGGCCGTCGTATGCATCCACACAGCGATTGACTCATAAAACAAAACAAAGCGGGCTGACAGAAGAACAGAAACTTTGTCATATTCAAGTCACACCTATGTATCTCTTTCGCTCTTTCAGGTACAGCTTTCTACTTATACACAAACGCAGAACCGACAGTGACTTGCCCTTCTTTGTCTGTTCGATATCATGCAAGCCAAGGGCAAAATCTCTGTACTGTCATACTGTACTGGTACGAACTGTATAATCGCTCTAAAGTAGTAAAGCAGTCATGAGCACTGTATTGCCAAATCCGAAGACAAATACAGCACGTAAAAATTGCATCTGATAAACCGTTAGGAACTTTGATTCCGACTCATCGCACTGGAATTCAGTCTTGTCCAAAAGACTAACTACCCATATCCTCTTAAAATTACGATTGTAAAATACACTGGCGATACATGCTACACCATTTGTTGTCAAGTACGATTCAACAACGATTGCACCATTGTACGCTCATATAAAATCTATGTGATCCTGTAGTTGTAGCGTAAGCAGTTGTTTCTCTATCTCCGTCGGTGATACCATGTAGGCAAAATCTTTATCCGTACATAAGAGCATCAGCATCTCTGCTATTTCAACATTAAAAAAAACAACGCTACATCATCCTTACAACACACTTTGGTGACGCCCAATCCTGGAAAATTTCTCTTGTTCTGAATGGACATATTAAAATATTAATCAATATAGTAATTCGAAGTACATACACGCTACTACAAACGTACTAGCAAAACATTTTTTTCATGCATCAACTACATGTATCAGGTCAACATACACAAGTATCATAACACGCCTTGGAGACGTCTGTTAACACCAGGTTCATTTCTATTGTTAAATTTTTATCATTTCAAAATATTAATCAGTAAAGCTACGCGAGGTGCACACACACACTATTATAGACTTGCTAGCAAAAACAAAATAAATAAATGCATCAACTACATGCATCAGACATGCACAGACGACCACACCCTGATATGCTCTTAGATCCTTATTTTGAGTGCGCTTGCCATTTACTAGCTTACCGTTCACCCTATAAGCATCAAATACTGTCATCAATCTTTTGAAGCTTGCCCATTCATCAAGGAATAAAGTTTGATAGTTTGATCGAGAAAATATCTGTAGCGTGTGTGTTGTGTGCATGAAACTATGTGCAGTGTGATGTAGCTTGCTCACACCAGCTAGGTATAACAGTACACTAATATTGGGCGATTCAACCCAAGCAGGTCTGCAACTTCAATTACTAAACGGATACTTATATGCACACACGTGCAAATGAACTACCTATGTGTGTTTATATACACATTAGCAATAATTATTATCAGTATTTTACAGCCAATAATTATTGGCGCGCACTTTGCTAAAGAAGATTTGTTCATTCTGGCATAGCCTCAGACCCTGTTTATTAATCTAGTGAGTAAAGTGCTATGGTTTTATCTCATTTATCTACTGGCTCCCGACTTGTTAGAGCTAGCCAAGAAAGTACGACACCGTATACGACAGTATTTAGACGCTAATGAGACAATCTTGAATGCAGCTTGATGCACACTAGTAGTGAAGTATAACTTTCAATGATTAGGCGAATCACTGAACCAATCAGCCTAGTACTAGGCTGGTTGGTTCAGTCATTCACCTAACTTACTACTAATCTGGCCAGTGTCGCGAGATCAATTATTGGGCCTATGACGGGAGACATGAAATTTCGTATTCGACAAGTACAAACCACATATAACAAAGCAAGTCTACAAATGGGAACATGAATTAGTCGCTCATTGTCGAACACCGGCATCGATTGTTAACCATCCCTTGCTAGCGGCACCATCGCTTACACTGTCACGAGAGCTCATTAAAGTCCGTGTGTGCTTAGAATTACGACAGATCAAAGCTCTTATTTCGAGGGATATGGCTTCGCAGATATAATTGATTATCGATACATACACACACGTCTACATAAGAACAGTTGGTGTCAACCTGTGATAATAGCAGCTTTAAAACAGTAAGATATTCGTGATACTAAGTGACGCGGCCTACTATGCTAAGATTAGATTCGCACATCATCACTCACAGCCTGACACACTATATGCATTCTAATGCAATTCAGTATGGGATTTGCGATGCGGATTACGTTTACTCGACTTTCGCCTACAAAAATAATAATTTGTGGCCTGCACGCCCCATGGACTATGGTAGGCCGCAGGCGTTCACAGCCCACAATTGCACAGGCCTCACAGTCTTACAGGTAGCCAAAGCCACAGGCCACACGGCTACCTCAAAGCGCGCCAAAGGTTTGATTTACATATTAGGCAATTCTGTGTTATTCTATTTATTTTTGATGATGGAGCCTTGGGAGTGTTGGCCACTTGTGGGACTGTCGCTATTTAAATAAATGAGTAAATTTGTATGTACTGTACAAGTGTACTTCCATAAATATTTAAATACAACATTGTTCAATTGTTGTATTTACCATAGCCACAAGTAAGCCAACTGATAACAAATTGTACACTAAATACATAGTTCCTACATTTGCACTTCTTTAAAAAACAAACTATGGAAAGTATTTAAAAAAATAGTAAAAAGTATTTCCGATTTAGAAAAATCATTCCTTAATGTTTTATAAAAAAAATAGAAAATAAAAATAAATATATAAATAAATAAATACAAAAACTACAAAAAAGTGTTTCAATTTAGAAGGCTATAAAAAAAGTGATCATCTTTTCGTTTACGTTTTTACAGTTTTCTTCAAATCGTTCGCGAATAGACGCCTACTGTAGGTAAAGCGTGACCTTTTCCTATTTTCAGACATTTATATCTTTTGGCGCGTTTGTCGTATGCTTCTGACTTGTGAATTTAAGACGAGTATGGTGTTCGGTACTTTTTCCCACGGCGCTCTGCAGTAATGCAGATAATAGATGTAAACTAAAATAAAATATAAACAAACTAACACTGGAACTAAAATCTCAGTATTCGATACATACACAATCTATTAATCATCATGAGCAACCCCAGAGTTTTCTTCGATATCACCGCAAACGGTGCTGCCCTTGGCCGCATTGTCATGACTCTTCGTGCTGATGTAGTACCCAAGACCGCTGAGAACTTCCGTGCATTGTGCACCGGCGAGAAGGGTATGTTAATATTCGTCTGGAGGCACGCCAGTACGTCCGTTGTCCGCGGTGCTTATGAGTGCTAGAACTTCGCTGGTCATACCACACACCAACTGCTTTTGAATACTAGTTGTTATTGTACTACGACGCTTGCTGGTTGTTGACTCTACCCATAATTGACAAGTAAATTGATCTGTTGTACTCAACAACTATATTGTTCTATTTATTTTCTATGACAGGTTTCGGATTCAAGGGATCCAGTTTCCACAGAGTTATCAAGAACTTCATGTGCCAGGGTGGTGACTTCACCGCCGGAAACGGTACCGGCGGTAAGTCCATCTACGGAGCCAAGTTCGCTGATGAGAACTTTGAGTTAAAGCACACCGGACCTGGAATCCTGTCCATGGCTAACGCCGGACCCGGTACCAACGGAAGTCAGTTTTTCCTGTGCACCGTTAAGACTGCGTGGTTGGATGGCAAGCACGTTGTTTTCGGAAGCGTTACTGAGGGTATGGATGTTGTCCAGAAGATCGAAGGATATGGATCAGACAGCGGAAAGACCTCTGCCAAGATTGTTGTTGCCGATTGTGGACAGCTTTAAATTATGTCGTGTCGAATGACGTATGTACCGGGACATGCCTGTCAAGGGCCGCGGTGCATGTGTGACTTGATTATGGACTTGCACTCACACCCTGTAAATATTATTCTAGAAGTGCGCCTGCCTGGTATTTGGGCGATTTGCACGCGAGGTGTTGCTTTGGGACTCTTTAGTCGAGAAAAAATAGGATTAAAACGCTCCGCAACGATGATAAGTGGAACTGTTAACTTTTTACGATTGAAAATATACCGTGGGTATCAAGTATGGTTCGGAAGTCTACTATGCAAGCATCAACGTTTGAGTGGTGTTTGTTTCATGATCCTTTGTGATGCCATCACCTTTGAGTGTAAAACTTAATTCTGTCTGCCATTTCATGTGTGCACTCGTCTCGCGGTTATGTGTTTGTTGCTCAATTGGTTAATTATAAACTGCCTTATGGAACATTCTGAGGTTGGGTTGTAATGGTACACCATAGCGGTTTATTGAAGTCATCGCTCTGTATATTTAATATTGCTCTATGCTGGTCGCAAATGTAGCTACAAATGACTGGGTCGCAAATGTACTTGCAAATGACTAGGTCTTCATAGTACTGTATGCTCATACCGGTGTGTATTGGTTTACTTGCACGAGCTCGAACTCAATACTAAGCAGTATCCTATGTTCGACCTTCAGACTTCAGCTGTCTAGTCGTTTATTGCTTACTCTTGTAGGCAAGTAGGAGAGGTGGAATGTCATCTATTTTATTTCTTTGCTTGATCTGTTACAAACCGACAAACAAAGCAACTACCAATTCATGAGAAGCCGTCGCCTTACTAGTTGAGAATTAAGCGAAGACTGTGTATCGTGCCGTATAGTATAGTTTTAAGAAGGCCATTGACCCCGTAGCCCAGGAGTTTGCCTCATCGCGACCAAAACTGCAAAGTAAACAATGAGATAGTTCAGAGGCAGGCGTGGAACCATGAGATTGTTCAGTCAGGCGTGTAAGGCGTGTAAACTCATCTGAGAAAGTGGCACCTAGCAAATAGAGCGGTTGTCTGGATTGAGCGACCGAACGCAATACACACTCATATACAGTACACCTACTTGCGAGATATTTCTTCGACAGCCACAAGCAGGCCCTGCAACATAAAGAACAACAGGTAGGCATACTCTCGTTCCCATACGAGTCGGTAGAGCATCTCTCCAACCACGCCGGTGACGCAAAACACAATGCACCTGGCGATATGCTTGGCTATTGACAAGCCCATAAGGGCTTGTAGCACTTGGACAATAGGTTCGTAGACTGCAGGAGGGAAACAAATTTTCGAAAATTGTAATACTTGTCAACATCGTTCATGTACTTGATCATATTAGTGTCCAGCGACAGTGTTTGAGAGCATAAGATTGAATAGAAATGTACGCACAATACACGTAAAAGAAGCATTTGAAGCAGGTGTTGCGCACTCAAGGCATGCGAGTAGCAGCGTAAGCATGAGCGAGCACAAGGCGGAACTGCATAAATCGAAAAAATGGCTGGGCAACGCTATGCTGCGGAAACAATTCACTTCATATAATATCGAAAGAAATATGCTGAGGTGTTTTAATACAGTGTAGTCAAGTACGGCCATATAGTGCCAAGGGTATTGCGATTTTTTGAATAATATGCGAGCGTACCAAGTTGCTAACTCACATGGGATATAATATACGTTCCACGTAGATTTTCTTGAAGGAGAGACAAATCGAGAGCATATACACGCATCCATATAGACCCGTATTCGCTAGCCGACACATGCAAGTACGGCTCATATATAGATGACTCATACCTGTAGTTCGTAATGTTTGCGCTACGGGTAAACACCAGCGTCTTCCCCAGAAATCGCGTAACGAGGTTATTATGTAGGGCCTATCGAAGCTCGGTCCGACCGTGATGTTGAACAATCGAGAAGCTACCAGTCCCAATGCGTCGCTTACAGCGGAGAACCACAAACAAACGATCAGAAGCTTGTACGGCGGCAGGACTTCCTGTCTAAATAAAACAGGAATGATATCATCAGGCGCAAACTGCGTCATGCTGTAGGCGACGGCTGCCTTTATTCCACAGTGCGCCAATTGCGACGTTGTGCTGGGTAATCTTGATGGGGCCTGTGTAAAGTAGCATGAACAATCGGTCAAAACCTGCAGATCGTAGAGCAGTAGCCGCGTGTGGATCATCTGATCAAGCCACCAACGAATCGGTGCAGATGTTAAAATAGAATAATCCATATGAAGGTAATGTTAGCGCCCGATTATAGACAAGGCAGTCAAGCCACTCACGAGCGACTTTAATTGTACACACACCTTACGTATGGCATCGACATCGACTTCAGGTATGGCGTCCTCACTCTCCGTTGTCCCTTTCAGAGGAGCTCGAGCTGTGGTGGTATTGTCTTTAACCTTTACCGGGCTTACATCTTCTACAGTCTCTTCAGGTACTTTGGCTGAAGTGCTCACGATATTGATAGGCAGAGCGGCGGTGGCGTAGAAAGCCAGACCATTGTTGGGCACACCGAGCGGCGCCAATGGGCCGTGGCCATATGCGAAGCCCAAAACACGCAGACTACTGATGAAACCCACTGATAAGGAGTATGCTAGGAAGTATACAACCTCATCTCTCCTGATGAACAGTGGTGTGAGCGCCACTGCAGTTGAAAACGAATGCAAAAATAAGAAAGTAAGCTCAACAGATCTGTGGTGGCCTACGCCTGGCCCGTTGAACGCGAATCGTGAGGTGAAATAACATTGTATGGTTGTGCAGCGAGCCAAGATGGGTAAGCGCCAAGGCCGGACCTAGAGCGCATTGATACGAGCTTGAACGGAAAACAAATTCAAGAAATATATTTGGGGAAAAGCTTGCAATATTTAAAATCACAGCAGCAGTCGATCGCGACTTGATATGATACCATGGTGTCTCCAGAGTGGCAAGTCTACAACGGGAGACCAGTGACGGTGAATGAGTCATTTGCGCATGTCAAAATGTCATCTCAGAGTGGGTACGATACATTAAGAAATGTACGGATTATCCATGTAGCTAGATTTGGGACTATCGCAATGCAGTTGTGATCCGTTCGCACACCCTACACCATATACATGTATCTGAACTTTGCGACTTTGCTGTGAATTACACTATACTCACAAATAAGAACATTTATGTGAGTTTGGGGATATCTAGCCTTATAATATGCACGCTAAGGACGAAATGAATATACACGCGTGCGAAACGTTGTGCAGATTAGATTAGCGCTTAAGGCGCAACAAACAGCTACAGCGAATTCAGTGACCCAAATCGGATTCCTCACCTAGTCCACACAGGCCTGGCAAAGTGATGAGAAACCTGACGTGGCCTGCTGATACTAGCGTCGCGGCGTAAAACACGTACATGATGATGACTAGCTGACCAATCAAGACGACAGAAAGCCGTAGCTCTGTTACCCACATAAGATGGGGATCCGAATTACTGTACATCTACGATGAGAGTTCATTCAATCGTATTATTTTAGAGTACTTTAAAACGCGGATAAAGATACGGGCACATGACCACGAAAGAATATCACTCAGCTTGCAGGTTTGTGAGTACACTACACAGCCGCCATGATTGTGAGTTGCTAATTTCTATACGTATGTGTACTTTTATATTTGCTGATAATCACTTTGTACGTAAAAAATTTGGGAAAAGCATCGGGTTACAGAATTGCATTTAGTTCCAACCATTCTAATACCCGAGAAGTCAATGCACGGAACCAATAGACTTGTATATATCTATAAATACAAACACACACACAAAAGGTATATATATATATAATACACTAAAACTCGAATATAAAGAAAACTATAGATATGTGAAGCATGAATTTAAAAAATTCAAATATCTATCATAGGTTCACATCAATGAAAAACACATGAAGAATAAACACACACACACACACACACACACACACGCAACAAACATACACACACACACACACACACACACACACACATATATATATATATACATATACATATACATATACACATATATAATAATACTACACACGAACTATATATATATATATATATATATATATATATA